ATGTTAAATTATTAAAAATTATTTTGTTTGTGTAGTATTTTTTTGTTTTTTGTTTTATTTTTTTTTTGTATTTTTTCTTTTCTTATCGGATGACAGATCAAACTCCAAAATATGACCAAGCATTTCTGCATTTATTCTTTTTATGTTACACTTGTAACAGTACACAATTATTAACTTTTAAAAAACTAAATATTTTTTACTCTTGTTTACTTAAAAATGCTTAAAACTTAAAACAAGCAACACTATGCACAAATAACTGACTACGACTACGTTTACATGCACTGATAAAACCGTTTTAATAACAACCGTTTTCATGAAACTAACCAATCATAAGTATTCCTGTAAAGAATGGAATGGGTGTGATTTGCCAGTTTCATAACTTCGGTTGTTATAAAAACGGTTTTACCAGTGCGTGTAAACGTAGTCACTGTAGTACACTTTTGTTACACTCTGGCGTTTTTCTTGAAAAGGATACACTTTACACGATGTTTCCCCCACTTCCAAAAAGTGTAGTGTATTAAAAGTGTAAGGTGTACACTTTACACTTTTCGTGTATGCAAGTAAAACAAACCTAATGTCTCGCGCAGGTCGAGCGCCACTTCGTTGCGTGTGAACTTGGCGTGTGGCATTATCGTGCCTCTTGATACAAATAATAAAACTATATATGTCATTTATACAATAATATTGAAAAAATGTGACATATATATCGTTAAATGAACATGTATATGACTATATGTATTGATATGTTTACGCGCGATATGTACGCGCGACGCGCTGCGTGTTGCTAAGCCAGTCGATAGTAAGAAAGAGACAGATAACAGTACGTTTGCTCTCTTCTAGGCTGCGGTCCGTTTTATGCTTAAGCGCACATTTATCTATAGTATACGTGACATATACTACAGATAAATGCGCGATTAAGCACGGACTGCAGCCCTACTGTCTAACGGTAGCCGAAGCGCTGAGCCCACACGTGCGCTCACACTGCTCGTGTGTGCGTTCCCCTCCACTACGGGGCCGCTCAGGCTTTCTAGCATCACTGGCTAAGACTTGTCTGTTTGTCTTCTTGCTGGAAAGCCACTATAGAAATTGTGTTGCTGTAACGCGCTACATGTAAATCACAACTAGCGCGCGCCAATCACACGCGGAACACAATTTTTTTTAATAACAATAGAATAGCTTTGTTAAAAGTTCTACAAAATTTGCAGCATCACCATCAGCAAGCAAAAAGAGAATTTATTAAAAGAAAGAGAAAGACTCCTGGGTGAGATGGAAACTATGCGACAGCGCATGAAAAACATGTCTATTTATACAGAGGAACTCGAGAAAAAAAATAGCGACATTGATCATAGATTGAACGAGATGCAAGAGACTCTCGCCATGCAGTTAAACGAGACGTCGCGAGAGAAAAGAGCCCGTGAAAAGACAGAAATAGAAGTGCATAAGCTACAAGAAGAAATTGCTATGAAAAAGAACGAGCTTGAGGTAATAAAATTCAAAGAAATTTAGTAGAATTAAAGAGAAAAAGAAATATAAACTTATTACAACTTTAGAGTAATAATAATTCACTTAGAGCTTGCGGAATGAGAACGGATAAAAGAACAAATGTTTAGAAAAACGGATCTAGCTCCGATGACCTTGACCTTGATATATGTTGTCAACGACGTGTCTCTGAGTAACAATCAAAAGGTTTTAGCCGTTGCTCATTGTTCATTAAAAAGTTATGAACAAATCATATTTCTAAAATAAACTTTCGTTTTTTGATACCATATATTAGGTGATAAACTTAATTCCTGTCGTTTTTTCGTCTCCAAAATTGATTTGTTTCGAAAGATGAATGAACACCTTAATAAAAGTTATTTTCTCCATTTTCTACTACTTTTTTCCATCTCTCCGGCAACAGAGCAATCCTACGACGGTAGAATGCGGTGTCTTTCGAGGCGATTTATTCATCCACTTATTTTTGGACTTCTTTGTAACTGGAGAAATATATATTGCATCCGTAAGCGCGTACTGCATCGACCAAAAAAGATGGTATGATTTGGTGCATTTATAGCTTTTTGGCCCGTAAGAGCTAGTCCATACGCCAGTCTAAATCTTTTTACATATTCTCAAAACGTAAGGCTAATATTACATTTGTCGTACGATTTTAAGTATGTTGATTGGTTATCAGATAGAGTTTTATAAAGAACTCTATTTGATAGCCAATCAATATATTTAAAATCTTTGTCGTACGACAAATGTAATACTAGCCTAAGAGAGGATTATACAGTACATTACTACCACGATACACGGCCTTCTTTTACAGTGGGCGTGGCCATTTGTGTCGAGCTTGTGTTCAAGACGCAGATACCAGATCGTGCCGGATAGCATCGAGAGTATCAAATCGGGATATCTCTACCGCTTCGATACTCTCGATGCTGTCCAGCACGATCTGGCATCTGTAATTCAAAATGTTGTGACTACAATCGCCTTGTGGGAGAGGGATTAATTCGGAATTACATCCGAATTAATTTTTGGAGGCCCGAGTTTGTTCGCCGATCAACCAAAACTCGGAAGGGGAATGGCCCGGAAAAAATCCTTAAATGATGAGCGAATTCGAATACAGGATCTCCGGGCTCACAGCCCCTGCACTCAGGCTGCGTGACCAGTGGGCCGGTCCTTCAAAAAGATGGTAATCCGACGGTGCCAGATCTGAAGAGTACGCTAGATGCGGGAAGACTTCCTATTCAAGTTCTAGAAATGTTTGCTTTACGCTTTTTGCAACATGCAGTCAAGCGTTATCATGCAAAAAAATGACTTTGCGTCGATTGTTGGCTACGGATGGTTTTTTTGCATCAGTTCGTCACTCAATCGGATCAATAAAATCATAATTGCTAATACATTTGAAGTACATGGTGTCAAAAAACGAGAAGTATTTTGAGAAATTTTAAAAAATATTTTGTCCATATCACACACTATCGTGCACGTGTAGGCAGGGAAGCTACGCTCTGCACTCCCTCTCGAAAAAACCTCATTCACTGTTAATGATATTGTAGTACCCTTAGACCATATATACTTATAGACACGGCCTGTAGATATGAATCCACGAGTCGAGATGAAGCAAAGATAATATCATCTACGTGACGTCACATGTGGGCATTTCGCCGCATTAAACGCGGCCTCGTAGATGATATTATCTTGTCTTCAAGGCAGTTATCTGAAGCCGTCTATAAACGCGCCTTTGCTTTGCCCACATGTGACGTCATGTAGATGATATTATCTTTGCTTCAAGATAGTTGTCTGAAGCCGCGTCTATAAGTATATATGGTCTAAGGTAGTACCCAACACAGATTGGGTTAGGTTTTTTCGGAAAGCAAAGCTCCTCTCTCTCCGGGGAAAAGGGGAGGGGAGCGAAACTCTCCTTGTCTACGCTTACAAAGAACATAGTACGTGAATGTTTCTTCTTTTTTTTTTTTTGTAATAATGACCAGACTATATCTGCTAATTAAAGGTACTTGCACTATTTTTTTTGTGAATCTTCTATGTATAAAAACATGTATATTTAAGCAGGAACTTTATACCGATACGACCGATAACGGTATTATACTAAAACCGAAATGCCGATATAGTATCAAAATTAAGTCTTACCGTTATAATATCAAAACCGATATTACCGAAAACTGTAATAAAATATCGGTATTATTTTGATATTCTTATTTTAAAAATAGTAGGTTACTTGAAGCATATTTTTCTGCATAATTAACCGTCTTATACCCGCGCATTGGTCTTATAGATGGACAAAATATAAACACGCTTTTTTCAGCAAATAATTGAGCAAACGTGGTGAATCGTTTGGTAGCTTCCTGAACTTGCGTTCAGTCACAGTTTAGTGTTATGTTTGAAAAAAAAGTATTCTTGTTAAGAAAAAACAATAAAATAAAAACAAAATATACAAATAAAGAATAATAAGTCCTTGTTTGGCAGTTTTTATTTCTAACATTATATAAGTAAGAAGTGTTATTAACAATGACAGCATCTATAATTTTAAAAAATTACTTTTCAAAAATCACAAAAAGTTTAAGGAATAGAAAAATTGAAAAAAGTACCGGTAAATATGAATAAATATACTGGTATTTTCTTATATCAGTATGATGTCATACTGGCATTTTCCTGCATTTTGGTTTGCATAAGAGTTTTGATGGTATTGCCAAAAAATATCGGTATAATACTGATATTTTGCTTAACGATACAAGTCCCTGTATTTAAGTGTATATAGACAGTATACATAACTTCTTTACAACTTTTTAAGATTATAACTTTTTTATGAAGAGCGAGCGACGGCTAACACTTTTCGATTGTTACTCAAGAACATGTCCTTGACAACAAATGATGGTCAAGGTCGGGATCCGTTTTTCTAAACATTTATCCTTAAATTTTCTTTTAGATTCTTTAAAATTATCTTAGATTGTTTTTAATCTGTAGCCAATAAAAGTTTTCTACAGCATCTCAAGATGATCTTATTGTTAACCGTAAAATCAGATTATGAATACCGGCTTGATGAGAACTGCGTCTATGCAGAAATACGGACAAATGGATGAGTACACAAAACATCAAAAATTCGCGAAATAGGTGCAAGGATTTAAGGACAATAAGGGCGATTTCCGTTAGCAGTAAATAGGGCCAAAGGACGTCGTACCAACTAACTATAGCAATTATTTGTCCAGAATTGCGTCATGTTACTGCTCTTTCTTCTTACCTTCTTTTCAAAACGAAAACTACTTGTCACTTTAATAATTATCTACCGTTTACAAATAACATATTGTTGCGAGATGCGGCGTGTTATCCACGCGGTATAAGAAGATGTTCGTTGAACGATTGATCGCTCTAGATGCTTTTGTTCGGGTGTAAACGGGGTTGTTTACGGCGAGGTTCAAGCGAGAAGTTGGACTCGGAATCGACAGGAGGCTGAACCAACGGCTCGGGATTCCCTCGCGTATTTACCGCGATCTTTGTAACGCGTTTGTGAATAAAGCTCTTGTGTGTTATACGCGTGTTACTTCCTTTCTTCGAAGCGCATCCATACGGCCGGAACGCGACAAAACGCGGTCGTGAGCGCAACATTTGGGGGCTCGTCCGGGATTGAGCTTGTGAGATCGGCGGCATGGCTGTAGTGCACTCGCCGCGGAGAACGCGCAATCAGGTCGCGGCAGGAGCGGCGGAGGCGCCGGCGGCGGCGGTGGCAACGTCTGAGAACGAAACGCTGCACGCGGTTCTGCAGTAGCTGGAGCAGCTGCGAGAGGAGCGTCGTTTAGAAAAGGATTCTTTCCATCGGAAGGAACAGGAATTCAGCGATTTCATGCGTCGGAAGGAGAAGGACGTTCGTCGCTTAAAGGAACGGCTTCGACGCGATGTATCAAGCGAGTTATTTTCAAATAGTTCTCCTGTACGGCGGGGGAAATAACAGGAGATAAAATTAAGCCGGATGTATACGACGGGAGTGTTTCGTGGCGCGAGTTTTTCGCGCAGTTTGAGTTGGTCGCGCGTGCGAACGGGTGGAGCGACGCGGCAAAAGCAACGGTTTTGGCCACTAACTTGAGGGGGAAAGCGTTCGGTTTTAGAGAGATTGGAGGAGAGGTTTAGTTATGAAGAGATCCGAACGAAATTGGAATCGCGATACGGGGAGCGGGAGCTTTTTCAAAGTTGCTACGCGCAATTTACTAACCGTAGACAGCGGGGTGGCAAAGATCTTGCGGCGCTCGGCGCGGATCTGGAGCGTTTGTCACGTCTCGCGCACCCGGAGAGTTCGTACGAAGTTCGCGAGAAAGTCGCTTGCGCGCAATTCATTGCCGCTCTCTCGGATGGCTTCGTGAAGCGTACGTTGCAATTAGAAAATGTGACGTCGTTGAGGACTGTTGTTGAACGGGCGAAGGCAGTGAAGGCTATTCAAGAGAATAGTTTCGGGGTGAGCAGGGAAGCGCCGTATAATTTAAAAAAAAACGGCGAGCTGAAGACGGGAAATGGAACAAAGAAGGAGCGGGAGCAGAGGGGAGACGGTGAGCAAAGAGAGAGGGAGTGTTGGAAGTGCGGAAAGAAGGAGCACTTCCGCTACGAGTGTCCGGCTAATTTGTCGGAAAACAAAGCTTAGTCGAGCTTCCAGAGATGGGTTCGGCTATGGGGTGGGATATCCCAGAGAGGGTGTTTTCTGTTAAACGAGTTGATAATAAGAAAAATAATTTATTTGTTTTTTCCGGTTTTTTGAACGGTAAATCATGTTATTTTAAATTTGATACGAGCTCCGATGTGTCAATCGTGAATTTTAATTTTGTAAAGAGGTCACGGTGTCAGAAGTTGATAGGGAGGCCGAGTTTGAGATATCCTACCGGGGAGAAGGTTCCTGTTGAATCCAGATGTGTGGCTCGAATAGTCGTAGGGGGACGTTCTTTGAAAATGCCTCTTTATGTAGCGGATATATTCGACGACTGTATTCTAGGCCTAGACTTTTT